TATTAATGTTTATTTTATATAGAACATGCGTTATTAAAAAAAAAAAAAAAAAAAAAAAATAACAATTAATAATAATACGTAATAATAATAACCATGTTCATATTTCATATTTTTTATTATTTTTAAAATTATTATTATTATTTTTTTCTCAAACTAAAGTTAATCGCTTACATTACAATAACCAACTTGTAAAAGCCATTACAACATGAATACCACTATAAAATGTTCTTTCTTGTAATAACTTATCGTTATTCTAATCCCAAAAGGAATGAGAATTACGTTATGAAATATAAATGTTTAAAAATGTTTATATATACACACATTAAAAAAAGAGTATTGAAAATAATGAAACGAAAATTCTAAAAATATATAAGTACACGTATCGGTAAACCGAACAAAACATGAGTGAAAAAGAAAAGATAAATGATACCACTTTGAAACAGAGAAATCAATCTCCCAAAATATACTTTTACATTATGCAACTTTTACTGTACCAGAATTTAAAGCATCAGAATTAAATTTGTTGTATTCATTGAATGATTCGAAATTTCCATCAATCGGTATTTTCAAAGCTGCAACAACTTCAGCCATCGGATCCATCGTAATTTGCTGTAACGAAGTTGGTGTGGTAGGTTGAGATTGAGGTGACGAAATAGATGTCATAGTTGGTTTTCTCTAAATAAATAAATAAATAAAATAAATAAATTAAATAAATAAATAATATAATATAATATAATAGATCAGTAATGTCAAACCTTAATATTAAATTGCAGTGAAGAAGAAGAATCAGAAGTAGGAGAACTTGGTCTAGATGAAGGGAAACCATTTTGTGTATCTGATAATAATTTCGTTTGGGATCTCGGTGTTGATGGAACCGACTCTACAATATTTACCATTTCTAAACGTAATGCTGCTGCAACTTCGGCCATTTGAGTTTTAATTTTCTCTGGCTATATTTGATGTAAAATGTAATAAATCAAAGTAATCTAAGAATTTAATCAGAAAATTATCATAGAGTAAATCAAGAGTAATCAATGGACAAGCTTACATCAACTTTTCCACTACGCATTTCAGCAATTCCAATATGTCCAGTGTGCTATTTTTGCACAAAAAAAAATTAGATTCAAGAATTTATTTTCATCAGCAAAATATTTAGATCTATATACCTGAAAGTTAGAAGGAAGTCCAATGACTCCCTTATGAATCTTTTTTGGTCGTTTCAAAACTTTAGCTTTTCTAGCATTGATATAATTCTCACTTGGAGAACCTTCGTGGAAACGAGTTCCTTGTTTATTTTTGTTTTGTTTCAGTGATGAAGAACTGATACCCAATTCTTGGGATGTTTGGTTAGGAAACGAAACACAATTACCCATTTTTTTTTTTTTTATTACTTTGAAGAAAGTTTGCTGACACTTAATTTGAAACGATCGAAAGAAAAATCTAAATGTTACACGTTAAACTCGAAATGATTTTTAAAAAAAAATATTTAATTCTTTGTGTTCAATAAACGTAAATAAAAAACTAAAAGGATGTCTTTTTATGACGAAACATAAAAAAAAAAAAAAAGCTTTTTTATTTTATAGTGTTGGGAAATTACATAATTTGTTGTCCATTAAACTAGAAACAAAAAAAAGAAAAAAAAAATTTTCTTGTCTTTAACGAATAAATGAACTAATTAGAGACCAATAGTGAGAGTGGTTAGTAATTCTTTCTGGGGGTAATCAATAAATATTAATATAGAATCTTTGTGCTTCATTCTGACTATCTTTATTTGGAAGGATAATTTAAGGGGTAAAAGAGAAGATACGCCCTAAAAAAGAAGTTACAGCCAAATCAAAATGACTAAAGCAACGGAATGATATTAAAAATATTTATCAAATAGGAAATTTTCTTTGTCTATACCATGCTTTTTTTTTCTAAGTATGCGGTATATCATTTCGGTTCTGTACAGTACATATGTATGTACCGTACGTACGTACTTATGTGCCTATAGCTAGTCTATCCAACGACTCACACATAGTATCCACGTGAGTTTCTAAAATCTAATTATTAGTGTTCTCTTACGTATCAATATTAAATATACAAACGCTAAGCTATATTTAGTTTGACTAACTTAATTTGTAACATCACTTATGTGCGTAATAAGCATGAAATATTTTGTCTCACATCTGTCATAAAACCAGTCACAACTCGAATGTTTGTTGGTTTATCAATCAATAATTATCTTTAAAAGAATTAAATCTAGCTAATTAATATAATGAACAAAAACTTAAAGACCTGTTATTGTTACCATTTTTACATTCTTGCACTTTTACAGTTGTTATACAAGTCACGAATCAATCTAAACTTTCTTTCATCCAATAAAGTTAATTCCCAATTATCTTTTATGCTAGTACACGTATAGTAAACAAGATGTACAAATCCCGATTGTGAGAACTTTTGAGAACCTATCTTTCATAATAGTAGAAAAGGTATTATTATTAGGATATTCTTTATCGTTATACGTATACATTTTCACTCTTATCATTACTTATAGAACGGCTTTAACTTTTCAAAGCAATTTCATTCTATATTCAATTAATGTATTAACGAGATCTTAATGCATGTGATTCATCAATTTAAGTTTCAATAATCTTACATTGATAAATATTGATAAGTACGTAAGTGCATGCTATCTACTATTGTCGTGTAGAGGAACTTTCTATATGCTCCATTCCTTTAATAAACTTATGGCATTTGTGTCTGCTTTAACAATCGCTAAAATGTCTAAAAATCTTCTCTCTAATGCTTTTGATTTGTTCTTTTTTGTATGCATATTTTAATGCAACGGAGAATATTATTTCGTATACATAAATGCTCTCCTTTTTTATTCTCTGATCAACTAAATCGAATTCAAATTCGAATAGCTTGTGCAGAATCTACCCCATTTCGAACTTCTGAAACTATTTGTGGCTTAGATACTGTACTTATAAATCTGTTATCATACTATTATCTAAACTGTACTATCGCTATAGGTGTATGTACATGATTTTAAAATAATAAGAAGATTTTGATACGTACTAATGAATATTAATACTGTCGTCCTTTTATATAATTTTAATGACTCATTCAATAGAATTTGCCATTACATATAAATTATTAAATAAACTTAATCTGCAAAGTAAATTAAAATTATTTTTTGGGTCTTATGTAACTAGAGGTAGAACCCGGTTCAAAATTTAAGCTTCGGGTTACTCGCCCGTTTGAAATATCATTATTGGGTCACATCAGATAACCGGTTATTCCATTTCTGCCCAATAAAGATCTTTCGCTTGCATTTGCTGGATCTGTAAAACTGTTAGAGTGGATTTCTACGATAGTTCCATGGCTTTTAAACAAAGTAGCTGTTGGAATAATGAACACAGTAAATGTGCATATTATAATGAAAATACTATGTTTTTGACTAGGGCTATTAATCAATCCGGTCCATCCAAGGCCAGTCCCTTCTTAGGCTGGTAAGGACTACGTATCAGTTCTAATTACCTAATTAGAGATGCATTTTAAAATAACATGTGCAAGATACGTAAAATGCGCATGATACGTACCGCATGATAAAAAATCCAAATTTAATTTTTAATTTATACGTTACGTATTTGCTTCATGTAACTAATAAAATTTTGTAAGGTGACGTCACAACAATTGGTGGATTTTTAGACATCATTCGTGAAAAAAAAAAATACGGGTGATGAATTATCTATTCCTAGGTATTGAAAAGTGGATTTTGAAGTAATATTTACTCAATAATAATAAACTTAGCAAAAAAAGATATAACAATTGAAAAATGTATGTTAAATATAAATGTTTTATCAAACATAGGTCGTATTCCATCAAAACCTTTTACACATAGGTTTGGACAATTTGTTACAGATCAATAGAGAATTTTCTATCAAGTTTATGCTAATCTATGTATGTGGGATAAGTTAGATTTGAGTATGACTTTGTTTAAAAAAGTACCAAGCACATTTGTACCAAGTACTTGGTGCATATACTAAAAAGTGAACAACCCAGGGGTTTTTGAACTATTATATCTACGACCTACTTAATATTCCAACTTAAGTCACCTGAATGGAAAATACTGTAAGGATGATGGCTCAATCGTCATGATTTCAGACATAAAAGTCTCCCATGGGCACGTCAGTGTATGGCAAAAAGTGCAATAGTGCCAGGTACTTTTAAGGCTAAACACAAAATACTGTATCTATGTCCAGTTTTGAGGCTGCGGCCTAAAATTTTTTGCGCACATTGCCGGATTGCATAACCTTAATAGCATATACGTATAGTAAATAAATTTTTTTGCATACATTGGTTTATTTTTTAATTCCTTAAAAATTAAACGACAGGGTTATAACAATTAATATATAAAAAGTTTTTTATATTTAAAAATAAATTTACGAATAATTTATAATTTCTATTATTATAAAAGTTCTCTCAAATCATCCAACGAAGCTTTTAAGACCTTTCTAAAAGTCGAACTATCAGTTTCATTACATTTTTTAAAACTACTAATACTAATTTTCAATTTATCATTTCTAATAATATAACAAACTCCATAACCATCAGGAACTACAGCTCCATAACCACAATGAAAACTTGGAGAAGGGCTCATATTTGAAGTAGAAAGTTTAAAATACATTGATTTAATATATGAAGGATCATTAAATAAAGTTGCTTTGGATTTTTTCTTCATCATCACGAATTTGACATCGAAGACCTAAAAGGTGACGGTCTACTCCACGACCTAAAAAAAAAAAAAAAAAAAAAGAAGTAAAAAAGATATATATAAATCAATATCATCTTTGAAAAATATACTTCATCACGTACCATTGGTAGCGGATTTCATATATTCAATATGTGATTCAATAGCCTTCATGAGTAGAGAAATTTTTTCTTCTTTCTATTAATAAACAAAATAACAAATATTTTGATAGAAAAAAGTTTGCTTTTTACTCATGAATGTTTTAGTAGAATATGATTATATGTTTATATAATAACTAATTAATAAACATATTTAATCACACTTTGCTAAAATATTCATAGGTAAAAAGCAAGTATTTCTACCAATAAATAAAAGATTTCAATATCATATTCATTTTAATTTTTAAGATTCAGTAAAAAATATATATGATACCTTCACACTTGGATCACAAAAAGCTTTGGTGAATGCGACAGTATCCACAGAGCAAGTTCTCACAGTTTCAGTACGACCGTGTAAAAAACCTCTAATAGATGCAGATTCGTAAGTCGCACATGGTTCATTATAGTGTTTATAATAAGCAAGTTGAATTGCCATCTGAACAAATGCATCAGGACTGACTTTAGCTATAATAAAACACAAAATAGTTATATCTACAATTTTTTTTAAAAAAAAAGATAAATAATAATGATAAATAAGTAAAATATATATTACCCTTTTTAAGCCAATCAGCACCATACTCGGTATAATGCAATAAAACACTATCAACATTATCTATTGCAGCTTGGATATTAATTTGAGCTTGTTGAATTGTGTTCATTATAGAATTATCAACATCCCATTTTAAATATTGAGGAGATAGCAACACAATAGGAGATGCGTTTGGTAGATCTTGTGCTGGTTCACTTTTTATTTTAACAAAAGAATAATAATTATCAAAATCTATATTTTACTTAAAAGTCATAAAAGGTTTCTAAATTCTATCACTAACTTTGAAAGGATATAATCGAATATACGACCAGGAATTACAGCATCAGAAGGTGAATGCTATTTAACAATTTGAATAAGTGTATATAAGTAATAATGAATTATATGAAATCAAAATTTTAATTATTAAGACATCATGATATCAAACCTCGCCATTAACACCACCACGTCCATTATTAGCCACAATTATTTGAATTGCTTTATCAAACCATCGATTTCGCCCATTATACGCATGAAAATTATTATGATGAGAGATATCAATATCTTGATCAAGAGGATAATCATCCAATGCTACACAAAATAAAGCAGTGTCAATTGCTTCAATGCTGATTTTGTTTACTGTAGACGATGATTCAAGCTTTTTGCGAGCCTGTGAGATTAAATAATGAATAAATTTAACAAATATAAAGACATATCTGATACTTTGAATATTTAATAGAAAAATACCGTTGCCCAGGTGTCACGGTGCTCGCCAGTCAATAAACCTATTGGAGGCTGTAATTCCTTAGTACCATTTACTTGGTCAGCCACAGATATAAGTTGCCTAAAACACAAGATAACAAACAAATATAAAATTAAAAAGGTCTTACATTTTAATAATTAAGAAACATAAGAGAAATAAAGAACTAACCTTTTAATTTCTTTAATAGGAACTCTTTCACCTTTATCACCTAAAACTTGAACTTTGAAAATTTGATCTTTAAAAATTACAATGATATGTTTAGCAGTCGCTGGCCAAGTTGTTATAATACGATCAGCGGGAAAATCAGCGATGCGCGTAGCACCAAATTGTTTAGTGTATTGATCCATACATAATGGACCCTGACGTGTTGTCTCTGGTGGTAATAGTTCACTGTTCAATGACAGAACAAATTTTAATGTATTAAATAAAGTAAATATCGCGGCTAAAGCTGAAAATGGCTGATGCTGGAAATTAGAGGTCTCAATTTAAAACTATAAATCCTGTTAAATCCATTTGTTATAAACCCTAACTCTAAATTCTAATCTAACTATAAAAAAAAAAAAAAAAATCGTAGAAAATGCACTCCCGAAATTTTTTGTAAATTTTATATTAAAGTATTTAAAATTTCCAGCATCAACCGTTTCAGCCGTAACAATAAATATTATAAATATTAAATATAATGTACTTGTTAATCATATCATTAAATGTCAATGTATTTGATATTAACCCAGCAGCTCTATCTATTTGAAATTCGGATATTTGACCTTTTGGGGGAGGATTTTTTAGAATTCCGGTAGCGGGATCATTAAACTCGACCCACCAATTGACATTTATAAGAGAAGGATCTCTCCATTCTAAATATGCTTTATTTAACCAGATGGTTTCTAGCCAATTATACTACAATAATAAATATAGAAATTGTAAATAATTATTAACTGATTATAATTGAATTGATCTTTTACCTTTTCACTTTTATCAACATTTTGTAATCTTTCTTGAAGAACTTCAGCAAAACCACCTTCTTTCATAAATTCATCAACAGCATTAACCGCTTGATTATAATCAGAAGTAGATAAAAGAGGTAATAAAGATTTCTTATAACGTTCAGCCGTTTCTTTCAAAGTGGGAATTGGAAGACGAGGAATTTTATTTTGATTCGAAAAAGTTTTTGGTTGGTTTGTTTCCATATGAGTAACGATAGTACGTTTTTGAAGTAACGATGATAATTTTCTATTTAAATTCAAAGATAAAAAAATTAGAAATGCGTAAAATAGTAAAGGATATATAACCCTACTTACTGATATTTTATAGCATTTTTATTAAATGGCGTGGAATAAAATGTCCGTGCTAACGGTGAGGTAAGACGTATAAGCGACATATTTTTATTAATTAAAATTTTTTTAATCTTACATTTTTTATATCGATATGTATTTCTAGTTTCTAATTTAGGGAACAGTAATAAGAGATGAGATCTTCATGTTACACATCGATTCTAAAAGGATCTAAAAAAAATTCTTAAATCTGATTGGCTCTTGTCGGCACTCATCGCTTTGTAGCTTTTAAAATCCCGACAAACAAAATCTCGACAGATTAGCCCGCATTAGGGTTAGAGTTAGCATAATGTTAGTCAATTTTTGTCGGGATTTTTGTTTTTGGGATTTCGTTATCGGGATTTTGTACCAAAACCATTTGTAGCTTATTAATTATATGAACTAAAAGTCGAAATCCCCTAGTTCTATAATCAATTAACATCTTTTCATAATCAACTCGAACAGAAAAGGTAGATGAGACCTAAAAATTTGAAAATTGCACTTTAATTAACGTATTAGGCTTTTTTTTTTTTAGGTGTTAACAATAAGAATTCGAAAATATGTCAAGTAGTTTACAACCTTCACTGACTCAACAGAGACCAGGAGCCAAAGATCTTTTTGTATGTTTTCTGAATTAGTCAGTAACTATCATGAACGCAGATTAAAACCTGTAAAACTAAGGAATTGCAGGTCTGGTAGCACGCTAGTAGACAAGAGACAGTTAAACGGCTTACATTATACAATAATTTTTTACCAGAACTTGTTAATCTTTATTGCTCATTAAGTTCATATTATATTTATTAAAAGTATTACAATCAATAAATATCTACAAATTATTTTTACCAAAATCTTTTAGATAATTTAAATTTTGATTACGAAAATAAAAGGTTATGAATTGATCTTTGTTCTATTACTGGAGAGATAAAATTTGAAAGAACAGAAAGATTATCAGTTTTTTCTCAGAAGAGGTAAGTACTAGTAATGAATCATATTTGTTAGAATTCAAAAAAACAAAAACTATAGTGAATGAAATTCTATAGAAACTCAAGAAAATAAGGTATATTAATGTTACATACTATCAAGATTGTAGAATTATAGTATAGATAAAAAATCAGAAATAAGAAATATCAAAATTAAGAAAATAATTAAATGAATATTGTAATAAGATAATTCAAATTAAAAATCTTTTTACTAAGAAATTATGAAGAAAATAAGAAGCTTGTTAAACAATAGAATTTTGATATTGTGATTAGTATAGATGTATATAAGAAGTTATTAATATTATACAATTTGAACAAGAGTTTTATATAAATATATTGATTCTCTAATTAAAGATAGTAATAGGTTTTCTCTTAAAAACCTATTAAATTATACTTAAAATTATAGCTAAGTAAATATAATTCTGTTATTATAAAATTTATTGAATATTAATCTATACTAATTTAATTCGTAATCTGCATGTGAACTAGTGAATTATCATAATAAAAAGTGAAGATATGTTTACTACGTATTTTTTGCTTTTTTTTAGAATCTGAAGCTTCTCAAAAGACACCTCATTTTTTTTATTAAGTAAACCTTATTTATGTTTCTAATAAGAATTATAGAGACAAAAATTTCAGTTATAATGGTAGTTAAAGCGCTAAAATCGGCTTAATGGGTCACGAGATAAGATTGTTTTAGTCTTCGCAGCTATATGTTAATTTCTTTGTTTTGATTATATAGCTGCAAAGACTAAAACGCTCATATATCATGATCCACTAGGACGATTTTAGCAGTTTAACAACTATTATAACTAGAAATTTGCCTCTACAACTTTTATTAGAAGCATAAATAAGAGTTACTTAATAAAAATTAAGTTATCTTTTAGGATTCCAAATTTAATAGTAAATTTTACTACTTTTTATTATGATGCTTCACTGGTCCCTACATAGATTATAAATCAAATGCAATTTCTTTAAATAGTGAAACAATCAATAAAAAAGTTAGAGTTGTAAGCATACTTATTTTTAAAGGAGACAGAAATATTATAAAATAAGTTTTATCTATTTTATATAATTATTATATTATTAGTATTTTTATTATTATAAATAGTTAATTTCTTGAATATACTTTATTTATTATTATTTTTACAAAATAACTTATTAGCTAAAGATAGATTTAAGTAATATTATTAGACTCAGATTGATTAGACCTTTCAAATAAGTTATAAATTATATTTATAAGATATATAATTTTTAAGTTACCTTAAGAATAACTTTAGCATATTTTACAATTCTTACAATTTTTACAATTCTTACCATTATTATAAAACTATATAAATTCTTCCTTTTCTCTTTATCTTAGATTAGATTTATCCTCTACAATCTTCTTAATATTAGAATTCTCTTAGCATAGAAACTAATAGATAGTTTTGTATTATCAATATTATATCATAAATAAAATATAATCTTTGTTCTTTCATAAACTTTGTAACAAACTACTATAGTAAAGTAATATTTTACTTAGATGTTGTTAAGAGTTCTTTTTCTATGTTTTATGTTACTTGTGTTGTATTAAGAAGGCTACATACTCAAAAATTCTTTCTGTCGATCATTCTGACCAAATTTGGAATAAAAGGAAAAAACAAGAAAACTCAAAATTTCTACTAAGAATGAATATAAAAGCTACTAATTAAAAGAGAAGAGCAAAGAAAAATATATATATCTTTGCAAAGAATAAAGAAAAAAGTTAAAGAAATTCAAAATTATAGAAGAAGTTTCGATTTGAAAACAGATAACAAAAAAATTTTTTAGAAAATTTGGAGAATCAAACAAACCCTAAATTGCAGATCACTTGACATAGTACAAACATGTGTAGTTAAAGTAAACAAAAACATATCATAGGAAAATCATATATCATATGCTTTACAGTAGAGATATTATACACAAGACCAAAACTAGATATTTTACTAGTAATTAGAAAAATTTATAGAGAATTATTCAAAAAAGTCAAGATCACTTTTAGATTATAGAATATATAGAGAATAAAATATGTGGAACAAAGAAAAAGCAAAAAGACTAGCAGGAATAGTAACTAAAGAGTATGGCAAGGAAATAATTACTGAAGGAAGCAAAGCAGTAATAGGTTTAGAGGATTATATAGATAAAATAATCGCAGAAATACTAGAAGTAGAGAGTGATATAGTAACATTAGAAAGAGAATAGAGAAAGGTCATAGAGAGAGCTACAATAACAGAAAGAATAGATAAAGTCAAAATAGTTTTAGAGCAAAGAGCACAGAATACAACTACAAAAAGCAATAAATCAATAATTCAAGAAAATGATAGTAAATCAGACATAGAAATAGTAGAACAAACAGTTTTAGCAAAAACAGATAATAGTATAGAAGAAAAACAAGTTGTATTAGTAAATCACTCTCTAATAAGTGAAAAAAATAAGGAAATATATAGTCTAATAGAAGATATTAAAGAAACACATAACAAAGACACATTTAGAATAAGTTAAAGTCAGTACTCTGATACTACAGAGGAATCAGAAAAGGATTTAATACCTGTAGAATCAGACTCTTTATTGGAAAAAAGTATCTGGGCATCAAGTAAAGATAGATGTGAAGGAGAAGAAAATATAAAAGTAAAAGTAGCAGCTATTAATGTGTTCAGAAATAATGTAGAACATAAAGAAAAATCATTGAGGTGGTCAATCAGAAAAAATATGCACTTAAAAAAAATATCTAAAAAGTTCAAACAAGGTAATTTATAGTGTACATTAATATTTGATTGCAAAAAAGGCTATGAAGAGGCCAAGGAAAAGTTAGAGAACAAAAAAGAAATATACGAACAAGCTAGGCTAATTCTCGAAGAAAGTACTGAAGAAAAAAAGAAGATACAGATAATAGACAATCAGCATACAAAGACTTCTGATCTAGAAATATGAAAAGAAGAGAGGAATTAGCAAAATTAGAGTTAGAGGAAGTCCTCATAAGAAGGAAAAAGAAGGATACAAATACTGTAAAGCAATAAGAAATCATATTTGAGAAGAATACTAAAAGACAACATGACCCTAAGTATACAAAAGAAAGCAAAGGTAAAAATAAAATAACAGTCTGGGACTTATCAAGCTGAGCAAAGAGAATACAAGTTTTCGAGATAGTATGCTTTATAGAAAGAGTCGAACATATAGAGATGATTAAAAGTGCATATGACAAAACTAGACCAGAAATTGAGTTTAAAGCAGGCACTTGCAATAAAGAGATAAAGAATAAAACCTGGTATCTACTATTCGCAAACTAAATATTAGTAAGAATTACAGCAGGTACTAACAATCAGAAATTACTTCATATAAGAAATAGATTCAGCAAAAGGCTATTAGAGTTACCAGAAAATATGAATGAAGTTTAACTATAGAGATAGGTTAAAAAGTTAGAAGCAAAGGTATTACATATTTTTCAAAATTCTAATAATAATAATATAAGAAGTGTGATAGTGTATTTTGAAAGCCAAGAAGATATGATAAATATCTCTAAACTTTCAATATACTACTATAACAACAAGCTAAGATAAGCAAATACAAGAGAACAAGAATTTGAGTCATTTAAAAGCCAGAGAGCAGAGAACTTCAGAGAACCTGAAATATACTCAAAAGAAGCAAAAAGAGCTTAGGAAAAAGAAAAGAAGAGAAACAAGAACAAGAAGGTGAATACTCAAAATTTGTACAAAAGAAGTATAGAAGAATGCAAGCAGCACCAAATAATATTGAGGAAGAGAAATATAAAGTAGAAAAGAAGTATAGTATTCAAAAGAAAAACAGAGACAATGAAGAAAGAAAATCAAATAAGCAAGGATAATATAAAAGTTATAACAGATCCATAGAATATATAACTCAACTAGCTCAACTCATATAAGGACTAGGAGAAGAAGTTAGTAAATATAAGCATAGTGCTCCAAATCATTCCTAATGTTGCCAAAGTCTAACTACAGAAAGACTATATAGATCAAGAAGGAAAACTTGAATATACAAGAAAGACATATAATTACACAAACTAAAAAGACAATAGAAAGATAGTAGAGCAT